CGGTTTAGTTTCTGCTTTATTAAAAAAACTGTTTCGACTGCATAGGAGTTTTGATTGATGCTTATTTGATAGTGATCGTGTTAATGTAATATCAACGTGTCAGATTGAATTCTTAACGAATTAGTTTATAAATATATTATTCTTGAAGAAGATTGGTATTTTTCGAAAATCTCAGTAGTTTTATTCTCTTTTGGCCAACTATACCTATCTCATTTTGCATAGACAGATAAATTGGCTTCTGTTCTTCCTCTCAAATGTGAATTTAATATCAAATTTAGATGATCAGTTATTAGAGTGGCCTTGCGTGTGTTACAGATCGAAGCGTTCCTCTTATTCAGCTGCTGTTTATGAGTTACCTTTATGTAATATTCATAAATATTTATGGTATTACTACTTGACATGATTTTGACGGATCCCTCATAAGATTGTTTGCATACAAATGATTAATTAACTGTAGCTGCAGAAGCTCAGGCACGGAATTGTAATCGCGTGCCTTCGATGAAAGCGCAATACTTCAAAAAGCAGAGGAAAAATTGAAGTAAATCCTTCTAATTAGTATATTATCCAACCAGTGAAAGTTTTGGCTGGCGATGCATTAGGTTTCGTCCTCAGCTCTCGTTTTTAATCAGCCAGGAGATAAGCAACACGTTAAACCGGTTTGTAACTGCACCGTGTAAGACGACTCCACCTAAATCCGCAGACCGCTCCCTAGTTAACGTGAATTTGTCTGAAGTTCTTCACGCGGCAAACAGAAACTATCCATCAATGGGCAGAGGTCAGCCATGTCGGACAATGTGGATATCCGCGTCTCGAGAAACTTTAAGGCGGTTACCAAGGTGAAAGAAGACGGCTAGCGCGACATTAATTCTCAGGCAACCGGCAATGTACCTTCTTACTTATTTCCGAATAATGAGGAGCGTCTCGGAAACGTTTACATTGCACCGCGCAAGCTGAAAGATTCGTATTCTGCATACTATTACATGCAGGAAGTGCTGGCAGTGCGGAGTGAATACTCTCTTCCAATCTGTTACGACTAATTATCTTGCACTTCAAACAGAAGAAAAACGTCTAGAAGCGGTTTAATCAGTTGCAGATAGAAAGTTGGAAAGATACCGGATAAAATTAACAACGGATAAAATTTATTTAAATAAAACACTGTTTTCCATATTCAAAAGTTGACTCTTAATTGATCAATCGATGAGATCTCCGTGTATCTTTTGGCAACGCGTTAGTTTATGTCTTTACTTTCTTTTTGCTTATTCTTTATGTTCTTTAGAATCAAGTTATAGAATATAAAAAATAATTTCTATTAACTTACTGGCACTATCGTTTAAAACATCTTCTCTGCTTTATAAAGGTTTTAATTTGAAAAATTACCACACACCTGCGGAATATGTTCGGTCAACAATGCGTTAAGAACATCAAATTAATATTTTTATTAGATACAACTGTTGTTGACGAATTGTAGAAACAAATTATATGAAGGTAAAGTGAAATATACATAACTCGAAGACTCGTGAATTAAACGGAATGTAGGATGTTAAAGTTTTAAACATTTATCATCAACTTTAGAACAAAAATAATCGTTCCAAGATTTCCTGGTAAATAAATATTTGCACCGTTCGATTTTTGAATTTAATTGTTTATTTTAAATTAAAAACTCGTAACCAAAAAAATGATAGTGAAATATTTTTCGTACTTCCGCGTGTTGCAAATGGCAACAGTCCTTCGTGGGAGAGGATTTTTTCATCACCGCGAACCGGAACAAATTACGAGTAACGATACCGCGGTGATTTCGTGTATATCGAAATTGCGTGGGACTAATTACGAACGTTTACTGGCAAACGAGCCATTACCACGTAACGAGGTAAGCCTGGAAATTATAATCTTACATCGATTACGAAGCGGCCACAGCGATAATCAAATGAAAGGCGCGCTGATAGGACAAGCATGTTCGAAAGTTAATCATTATTTTTGAAAATAATCTCCATACTTGTTTCAGTCTGTATTACTTTAATTTTACTGACTTGAAATGAAACGTCAACTATCATGTAAATCTTTTGGGCCTAGAAACACCTTTTTGGAGTAAGTTTCGGTATTTTTTTTTAACTCTTTGCACTGCAAAAGTGATTCAGTGGAAACTAACTTTACGAAAAATCTCACATAAATTCAGGAATAAAACTATTTTACTTCAATGTGTCATATATCGATGCATTATAGAAAGTTTAATATTAAATATCAGACTTTACAATACTGTGTCAAATCAATTGGCGACTTTGAAGTGTAAAGGATTAATACTACACGTATCAAAGTTAAATTGTCCAATTTTTATTTTCTTCTACAAGTTACAAGAGTATTGTTTTGTATTACACTTATATTTTACTTTATATATGTTACTATATTATTTTATTTAATCACTTTTCAAAAAATTATCTACTTCTTTTGAATAATTATATATAGTAGAGGAAATCTAAAATGGATTTAAAATCTAGAATATTTTTTTAGGGCGCCATATTATTCACCACTGTTTATTATTTAACAAACTCCAAATTACCAAGTAATCTACATTTTATGTTACGCATGGAATGCAACTGGTAGTTCGGTATTACAGTTTTATGATATTTTTGTTCCACTAGAAACATCGTTGTATCAAAGTTATTGAACATTCGTTAAGATAAAGTAAACGTGGAAAAATACGTTAAGTGTAAGTAATGAACAAGCATGCAGTTTTCCGCGGTGTGTACCCTGTAGTGAAACGATTGACCTTTCGGGTCAACTTCCTGAAACCTTGAGTAACATCGCTTGTATGCTTTGGCTTGTAAACAAGTCGCTTTTATAACGGTACATTTACGACAATATTTCATAGATATTGTGGCAAGTGACTCCGAAGAACATGTTTAACTATTCTACCTTAAAACACCATATATTATTGCATATATACTCGTTGCTTATTCCTTTCGATTAGCTCATCCGCGTCTACAAATACAACTTTATTATCCATTGGTAATATAGTAGTAATAACCTTAGTGTAAACTAAATCCCTGACTGGAAATACTCATTAGACATACTTGGCAGGAATTCTCTTCTCGGATCGTTTTCTTTTTGCTCACACTACCTCCATACAGTTTGAAAATATAATTCTGTAGGGGTTTCAAGATCCATGTCAGCGTAATTCATTTGGATGTATCAAAATAATCGTGGTTAAAATTTTACCTTGACATTGTACGCTTTATAAATTTGAAAGAGGAATTTCTGTTAGGAACGTACGTGAAATGCATGACTCAAGTGCGTTTAACCTCTCACCTTAGGATTTCTTTTGCAGCGTTCCTCATCAGTGCAACGTTATCTCTATATAATGATTTGTAGAAGGGAAAGGAATTCTATGATTATTGCAACTTAAATTCATTCAAAATATTGACATGTACTAAACATACTACTTCATTTCGAATTTAAGAAAAAAGATAATATCTGTGTTTTGTTTATTAAATTATTTGTAGTTCAATACTACACATGACGTATAAGCTTTCATAATATTTTACATTCGAAATGAAAAGTTATATTTTCGGATAAGGAGAATTTTTAAATGAGGACAAAACAAAATTTAATGGAATAAGACAAATTTTAAAATGAGGAAAAATATTTATTAAAGAAATTGCATTTAAAGATAGAAAACATTGCACAAGTTTCCTTAATTCTCAATTAAAACCGTTTAATTTTAATAAATCAAACATTTTACCCCACAAAGGATCAAAATTATTAATGAAAAGAAATCTTTAAACCACAATTACATAATTAGCATCAAAGTTGCTAGCTAATCGCGCAAATCAGCGCGGAACACTTTTAAGGCTGGAAAAGTTGCAAAATAATTTACAGGCCAGTATTTTCGATGAAATCGTTATCGTAGCATGAAGTCTATTAATTAACCAAGGATTCGAACATCTCTTACACTTCTTAAATTCACTTCCCGCCCGGCAATCAATGTGTTAACGACCTCAGGACGATTTACTTTCCGTTGAGCGAAAAAGATTCGATAAAAATTACGAAATAAACATGACACGAAACGGTTAAGCGGTCAGATTAATAATATTCCCGCCGGTGGTTGGTGAATACGTTCACGTCGGCGAGTTCCACCGAGTGGCCGATTTGCCGTTTTAGCCGGCAAAAATTGAAAACATCTACATATTGCATATATTTGGCAAAATATGATTGTATAATAAGACTGATAATCAGATATAATTATAATCAATTATAAAGTATATAATAAACGAATAAATATTAAATATTAATAATTATATATTCTTATATAGAATGAGTTACATTACGTAGCATATAATAAATAATAATAACACAGTAGGTAATAATATATGATTAAAATTAATTATATGATATATAATAGGTTAATAAATATTAATTATACGAGCATACGCGACCGCGCCCGAGCGTTCGAACGCTTCGTATCGCGCTTTAAAAAAAATGCTCTAAAAACAAAAAGTGCAAATATGTGCAAAAAATTTGTTGTGCGTAATAAACACATAGCTTTACCGAATACGATAGTGCTTGAAAGAAGGCCGAATCTTACAGAACAATATAACAAAAGTATTTATAAAGCATTACAATTGTAAGAAATATCATTGATTATAAATCACGCTTAAATGTAAATAATAACACAGAGATACATAATAAGTGAATCACGTAATACAAAAAGTACAGTATATATTTACCTGAGAAACTTTCCTTTTCGAAAAAAGTATACATAATTTCTCTGAAACAAAAATCTCCCAATTTTCAACTAAAACACATGAGTTTATGAGTGCACGAATGAAAAAAAGACAATTAGTAACTTATTCCTCGCACATTCAACTATCTCAGGGAGCAAAAATTGCACAGCTTATACGAAATTTTTGAAATTTACTTTTGGCCGCCTAAAATGGCCAAATCAGTCACTGTGCGATGATACACAGCTAATTTTCAACATTAAAATAATTAAAATGAATCATTAATTGATTTGTTAAATTGTTTATTAACATTTACTCTCGTTAAGCAACTGAAGTCAGAAAACTATACACGTAACAAGAGAATACACCCATCATTCTTACAAACATTGGTTCGTCATTATTACAATTTACGATTAACACGATGACTGCCAGGTCCTTCACATACGAATGTCGCTACATTTAAAACTGCATAAATATTTCCTTCAAAGGTTTCGTCATTCGAACGCAAATAACAACAAAAAATTTACTCAAAACATATAATTTGTGCAAAATACATTCATAAGTATTCCCGCAGTCAAATTATGCAAATAAATGGAAAAAATGGGTTGACCTCCGGGGTTAATATTTTTTACACAATGGCGACAGCTAGTGTGTTAAACATATAAAAACATGTCCCGACGCGAATGCGTTAATTAATGTTCTTCTTTTTCCAGTGTCGCCGCCTTTGCCGGGGCTAGGCGAAACAGCGTGGGAGAGAGATCACGAGCGAGATCGGGAGAGACACCGGGAACGCGAGCGGGAGAGGGTGCGAGAGAGAAGTACGGAGAACGAGCGCAGGGAACGCCAACAGGAAAGAGAGTCCGGGATCAGGGAGAGGGAGCCACGGGATCGGGAAAAGGAACGGGAACGTGACAGGGAGAGGCAGAGGGACAGAGAGAGGGACGTGTCGGTTTGTGTGATGGAATCACTTGATCCTGTGTTCGTATCTTCCTCGGCCGCCCTCCTCGCGCTGCAAAGGATAAAGGAAACACCCTTGTAAGTAAATACTGCTAATTATTATTTCAGTTTCGAACCGGTAACAAGATTTTCTTCTTTTTACTTCATTTCTAATGATAATTAATACTGAAGGAGAAGAGAATTTGCTAATTTAACCCACTTGCATCATAAGTACATATATGCACGCCACCTTCTGGGGAATTATAACTAGAGCACATATGAACATGAATACGAACAGGTACACCATGCCCATTATTACTATAAAGGTTTACTGGTCAACATTTTCCAATATTCATTAAAACAAGTTTATCGAAACATTTTTTTTTCGAATGATGCAAATGGAGTAAAAGATATGTCAATGATACAACTTTTATCAATTATTTGTACAACGCTTAGAAACACCTCTACAGCTGAAAATCAATTTACACGCGCAATGTATAGAGTAAATCGGAGATAGCAATGCAGATTGATGCAATTACGCGAGTGTGTATCTTGATAGTCTATTTATAAATCTCTAATTTCTAGTCATAATTCAAGTATAACTGTAAATTATACCGAACAATGTATATTCTTGTGTGCAGTACTTAATAGATAATTCTTGTTATAATATATATTTATAATATTATCAATGTTTATTAATTTTTTAGGATACTTTTGGGGTTATTTTAAGAACTAGAATGTATAGAAAAATGGTTTGACATTTACAATTAAGTATCTGATAACATGATCTTATGGAAAAAGAAAGAATTATTTTTAGAATTAATTTTATTCCGAGAAAAGAACGTTACAATCCTTTGATACAATGTCATGTTAACGTTTGTTTACCGTATGTTGCTTTTATTCGCAAAGGTTGAATTAATTAGGTGAATTAAACGAGAAGGCAAGAAAGAAAACAATAACATTTAAATCATCACAATATCTTATATGCTTGTTAAAAAGTACATAGATGCGCGATGTTTGTTAATATCGAAAAGAAACGATTATGGAGAGCACGAAAAGATAAATCCAAGAGCTTGACATATTTAACGAACGACACTGCACCATATCTCGACTAATCGGCTGACCTTAGACATGGTATCTACTAAATGTTCTTCATTCTCACTGCGTATGCACGGATTATTATTAATGATAACCTTTTACTGATAAAGTTTAGTCGAATCGAGCATTCCGATACTTCCAGTAAATCTGAACCTTGAATTCGTGTTAACTTCATTCGTACACAAATAATAAATCTCAAAATAATTAATATAGAATAGAATAAAAATAGAATAAACGTTCATAATACAAATTCAATGTCGTTGTTAATGAACTTACAAATTTATCATGGTTAATCAGTAAACCGTTTAATTCTTTCACTTAAACTCGAACGAGTCTAAGCTTCCCAATAGTCTTCTGGAGGCGGCAGTGACCTGTTAACCGACTCCATTTCGCCAGTCTCAGGATTGTACTTCACGCAAGCCATCAGAGTGCATCCTGTGACACCGTCGCCGGCACAAAAGCACCAATTACATCCATCGAAGTAACGTTTCCCAGTCACGCATTTTCTGGCTGTAGAGTGACATTAAAAAATACAGTGACCTTATGTAACTTTTAGTTTCATGAAATTTTCATTAAATGAAATATTATTTTCATTTTAACATTAAATTTTAACGTTGAATTTTCATTAAATAAAAAGATAAAAGACTAAAGTTCTCGAAATAATAGGATACCTAGGTTTTCTAAAGAAAAATAAGTTTCAATTAAGAAATTGAGAAATTGAATTTGGAGAAGGGTACTCACTTGGCTCGACGTCGATAGGAATTGAGGCTACGATGGCGAAGACCAGGAACAAAGCAAAAACTTTCGTCCACATGTTTCTCAGTGTGTCTTTCTAGCGGCGCTACGACGAGCCGACTGACTTCGCGCAGGGCATCCATGTTTTTATACGACCGCGTATCGATAACTTCCCTACACTGTCTTCTAAAACACGTTTTATCAAGGTCAGTACTTGAATACGATGACCAAGCGTCATATCGTGTACTTTCCTGGTCCTGTCCGCGTATTGCTACGTATTTCTCCGAAATGTTTCATAAATATTCCGTGTAGATACTAATTTTATCTTCTCTAAGCATTTTACGGCCGGCTTCTACGTATTTACATCGAATGCGAGTGCGTAAAATATGAAGTACGGAAATGGTTATAAAAGTTCAGTGATATTATTACTTTACTCTTGACTTAACAAAGTTCTTAAAAGGGGTAGAAGAAGAAGATAGAGATTGACCAAAAGGTTGACCATGACTTTTTTTCAATTCTAACGTAGCTCCAAAATAAAGTTGGAAATGTATTTTCATGTTTAAAAAAGTGTTTTCCGAAATTTTGTAGATTGCAGCTTGTAGAGATTTAAATACCGATTATTTTCTACTGGAAACATGTTTTTCTCAGACCATTGGAAATTTTGCAAACAGAAATCTAAAGAAAATTATTTTTACACGTAAATTATGTTGAAATAATGTACATTATTATTTTTATACATAAAGCAGAAACTTTTTGATAAGAAAATACATATGTTAAGAACAGTTTTTAATGATACTATCACTAATGTTAGGGCGTGAAACGCTGACGAACGCTTGATACTAAATTAACTATAAAACTTGAAGGCGGACTTACCCAGAAGCAAATTTTATTGGATTGTAAGCTTGAATGTCTATTTAGTAAAAAAAGAGTATCCGGACTCACTAGGAAGCATAACAAAATCATGAATGAAGTTTAATAATCGTCTAAAAAATATCTGAACCATTGACCACATTCAAATATTGATAACTATGTAAATAACTATGACAAAAGAAAAAAGAACTGTGCAGAAGTGTAGAAGATAACACTTACACTTAATCTTTTCAATATCTATAAGAAATCATCAATAAATTCACGGTGCGTTGCGACATGATTGAAAAAGCAACACTTGCTACAATACCTCCTGACGGCCGATTAAGTTTACTGATTTACGAATACACGAATGACGGTAAAAGGTGTAGCGCATTGTTCCTCGTACATTCAACAACATTGAATAATAAAAAATGTACAGCTTACGTAATATTTGTAAATATCCTTTTTGCCACTTCCCCGAGTCAAATACCCCAGTGTGCACCGCATAAAAATCCGCAGTGTACGATGCTTTGAAACATGCCAAATACGTAGTGTCGATCTCCATTAACCTGCCACTGGCATCGAGCGCGTCAAGGGATTAATATGAACTCGTTCGGAAGAGTGTCGGTGAAATCAGCTGATCCGAACGTAACCCGACGCCTTACCAAGCATCTTCCGTTCGCGGAAGAACAGCTCTGGCCACAATAAAATGGAAATCTGGAACAGTCAGCGTCGAATGAATGCTGCGCGGCACAAAAGGTTCACACGTCCCGTTCGGTACTCGGTTACACGAGGGGCTGACTTTATTATCAATTTACAATCGGTCGAAAACAGCAGGACGCCGAGGCGATTTGCTCGCGGCACCGATGGTTACGTGTCGTCGTATTTCATCGAATGTATAAGCACGGCCAGGGTTAATAGGACGAGGATCGTGCAACCGCTGTAAATCTCGTTTAATTTGCTTTCGTGCATTCGCGAGTGTCATTTCCCATTGTCGGGGCCGCTCGCGCGACACACTCGGCTGAAATCTCCGACGGAAAGCCCGCGATAGAAAACATAGTAATCTCGTGACACCCGGCGCACGCTAACAAACCTCATTTCGCACGCCGCGTCACGATTTCTTTCCATCCGCGTTGCTCGTTTAGCAACGTCCACACGACGCCCGAAATCGCGTTGAATAATTTCAACGCAGTGCAGTGCGCCGTCCCCTTTTTTCCCGCGAGGCTATGACAAACGATCGCCTAACGGTCTCTCATATCGTGGGTTTTCTCTGCTACGAGCACTGCTTCTCCCGAACTTTTGAATTATTTACGGAACGACGCGTCAAATTGGTATTCTGTTTCCTCGCGATCCCGGCATTCTTTTCGGTATTCCTTTGACGAATGGTGCTTCGTACCCGGGAACTGTTAATCATGGGTTGGCCATCGATTGAACCGTGCCAATATGACTAACAATAAGTATAGTACTCGTATTGTTTGAAACTTTATTGACGAAACATATAACCACTGCTTTCAGCATTATCATATTTAAGAGAAGCTTTTTAATGTTTATGCAGCCGTCTTAAAAGATCAACGTGATTAAATCTACAAGTTAAATCAAGTTAAATTAAATCGTTACAATAGTAATGAAAATTGTCTTAAAAGTAGTACAAATAACAGCAACAAGCTGAATTAAAAACTGAAACGAAATATTCTAAAAATAAAAAAATATTCCTCTTAATAGCAATGCATGAATTTTCCCCTCGATCCTTAGAAAAAGTACTGACGTCAAATAAATCCTCGCGTGTGATAGTCTACGACAACCGGTACCCGTCTACCTGAATTAATCGCGCCGCGATAGTATCGCCAGCGCAAAGTACCCAGATACTATGCGCGTAATCGATGAAGATCAGAACCGTGTTGAAGGGAATCGAGCAGATATCGTTTCGATACAAGATCGAGAACTAGAATCAACGGGTATCGATTTGCTATCGTGCCGGATTGCCGGACGCATCGTGAAATCGTCACCATCGGGCACCGTTGTCAGCGTCCGTCTTCGCTTCTGCGGCCCGAATGCCGTTAGCCGATAGTTATACATCGCGTTTCGCATATATCTCCGGCCGCTCGTTGCCCGTTTCCTTCTTGATATACATGCGCGATCGCCACTTCCACGTAGAAGGAAATACGCGCGTGCAACGCGCATCGACGGTACATCGGTACCCGCATGTCAGCGGCCCCCCTGCGGAGAAACCGCCGCAATACTTCACGACAAATGTAGTTTCCAGTTCCTTCTTCGCCTTCCCGACGAACGCAGCTTACCATTTTCAAACAATGAATCCATTCGGGAATACTTTCGTTAGACGGGAACTGACTTCTACGGAATCGCCGGGAAACGGATGAGACCGTGCCCGCGAGCCTGACAAATTCCGTCTCGGATTGTTCCTGCCACACCGTTCTACTAACTTTAACCATTTTTCTTTGTATTTCACCCTGAGGTCTATGACAGTAATTAATAGTGATTGAATTTTATAAATCCTTTTTACGTTTGAGATCTAGGTATTTTTTGTATTTAGTTGTTCCTTTCATACAACTTTTTTAGAAGTTTTTGTGCGATGAATAAGAATATCTGATGACTGGTTTTCTCTATGACTCTCCGGTTTTATTTAAGAATTTTTGTATGAAAAACCTGCAAATTTTCTGCTTTGTGAAAGTAAATATAATAAATAATACTTAAAATACATAATCTTTTACTTATACATTCCTCTATATTTGAAAATCGAATACTACAGAAAAAAGCTAACTAAAAAGCCACAGTTCAGTTATTTTTCAATTCAGAAACGGAATTGAACATATGCGGCGTAAAGAATTAATCAGAAAATATGTGCCCGACGTAATTCTGTAAGAGTGAACGCTGCCTAAAAGTGTGAAAGCCTTGAAAGATTAACTTTCACGCTATTCAGGACAAAATGAAACGGAACACCCTGTACATTAAAGGTGCCGAAGCGAAAGCTACGCACGCGTCGACGCGCCGCGCGAAGTCAAAGATCGGAAAATCTCGTGAGGGGGATGAAGGTTGCGTTTCTTCCTCGGCCTGGACGTAGATTCAAGATAGAAGGCGAGTCGGATTATCGCGAGTAGAAGCGGATTTATGCCAGTTTAAACACCGAGCTGCGGGTCTGGCTCACAGGCACGAAGACGAAGTGTGCTTCGTTCGGATGAAATATAGCCCGGCTGGGGGATGCTTCGGTGTGTACCGGCGCTGTTTTATCCGGTCAAGCTGAACCGCGAATTCCTGGGGATCACGGTAGCGTAAATTCTTCGACCGCGGGCCAATGGAACCGAACCTTGTCCCATCACGATCACTTAATCCTTATTGCTCCAAGAATATCGTAGAATGATTGCCAGTTGCTCCAAATAAATTTTCTTAATTTCGAAGAGGAAATTCAATTATGAAACTTAATTTTTTTACTTATCTTTCGGTCTTTACCCTTTGCACCCCACAATTGTCTTTCAGTCGTCAATTGATTTGACACAGCAAAATGTAAAATTGTAAAATTTGATATTTAATATTAAACTTTGTATAATGCATTGATATGTGAAATGTTGAAATAAAATTGTTTTGTTCCTCAGTTTATGTGCAATTTCTCGTCAAGTTAATTTCAGAAAATGTCGTGTGTATTTCATTAGAAAATATTGAGTAGTTCTAGTGAAGTGCTTCTGGAGTATAAATGACTAACATTGCAACGAATATATTATTATAAAATTACCTTACTTTTTGAATTTTCAATACTATGATCACCGCGAGAAATGTGGTATAAAAGCTATGGGGGCTCCAATTTTTTGATCAGAGACTATATTTTACCGTTGGCTTTTACAGTGAGACTGCCAGTTGCAGTGATACGAGTTAATATACATATGTAAAACGAATTTATAGAAAATCGTAATTCCGTTCACCTCGAGACCCGTTGTAAAACCCTTGAGTCGTATCACCCTTCGATTTTGTCCCAATTGCATCGAGCTGCTATAACATTAGACTACCAAATGACCAATTTTAAAATCTGATTTAAAATTCCACATTTCGGCCATATAACTTTACATCGATTCTTACATTATTTGATTAATTTTGTTTTCAAATTTTGTATTTCTTTTTGTTTCTGTTTTCACTACGAAAACTTTATTGTCCGACTTGTTTACCTCTATTTGATAACCGATCATTTTACATATTTTGAAATGAATTTTTTTTTTTATCTCGTTCAAGTTTCAAATTTAACACGTTAAATGCCGTATCAGTTACCAATGACCGAGCCTTCTGAATTGCCTGAAAAAATTAGGATATGCAAGATACCTGCTGTTGAGTAAAAATATTTAAGAACATAAATAAGTTAACAACAGTGCAATGTAAACATTCTGAAGCTAAATAATTAATAATTGTTCCTATTTACCTTTGCTACGAAGGAACAAGTCATGTATAAGATGTTCAAGATTCTCGTGACGCTTAACGTGTCAACTTTCTCGAAAACAAAATCTCAAGTTGAAAAATCCTTATTCGATACTTCCAATTTATCTTTTGACTAGTATTCCAACTGTAGCTAATTTTATTACCTAAACCAACACGTCTTGTGTAAATCTAGGACAAAATAATGAAACCTTGTGTAACTGGGACTCTGTTTATCTCAAATCTCCGTTACCGACCTCTTGAATTATATGATACACACAACCTTTAATTTTCCTTCGGTCGCATCGCGACGCCTTAAATTTCATGTTAATATCCCGGTTCGATGTGGAGCACTGCTGAACAGCTCGTTCACCGAGAGAGCGCACAAGCCAACCGAAGTCACGTCCGATACCTTAAATTATCCCTGAACAGCGATTCGCTTCGAGGGACAATCGGTTGCACGCGTCGACACGGCTCGAGTACGAATTTGGTCGCGGAACGAGTTTCGCCAGGCGCCCAGATAAGATTGATCGACTCGGCTCGAGGTATCGTTTCCTTCTTTTTATCTTGCCCGGGACCAAGTTGAACAACCGCCGGTACACCGCCGGTTCGTGGCTTTTAACCCGTTCCGGTAGCGCTGTCTCGAAAACAGTTTTTATCTACACGCGTGGGGCGAACACCCCACATGATGAATCTCTTTCTTCGTAAGCGTGAAAATTTCATTTTTGGTAATAGTACACTGGACTTTTATAGTATTTATACATTAGGTTGTTTCAGTAATAGTACACTAGACTCTTGAAGTACTAGTACACTAGTTTTTAATAGACTGCGACTATTAAACGGGTCAATACGAGGTTGTTTCAATATTTTTATTTTACAATTATTGAAATTATGAAGGCACTGTTGTGTGAAATTGTAAAATAAATTCGTGTATTTCTACAGATACATCAGTAAAAGGCGCTTCAGAATTATAATTTTTTATTTTCACAAGAACTTTGAAGGTCTAATTTTAAGCTGTTAGCAGAGATGTTGCGTAACATATACAGTCAATGAAATTTTCACATTTCTACTAAAGATTTGAATCATTTTTTATTGTTCTCAAATGAATTGTCAATTGTTATAAACGACAACAATTGGATATTTTTTTCGAGTTCATTTCGAGATTTTAATTATCTTTTCTAAAGATATAAGAGAATATGTCTATAAGAGAAAATGTCGATATTTCAAACAGATCGCTGCCTCGAGAAAAACTTTCTCGGTTGATTAGCCTAACCCAATGCTAGTTTGATATACGAGGAACCGATCCAGCGTTTCTTAACTACGCTCTCGAGATATGCGATTACATCGGTGTCAGTTTACACGACTCTAGCTCGTAAAGTTCAGAAAAATGTGAGAGGTTTTTCAACATAGTTTTGACAGAAGCAGTTCCGCCCTTCCCTCCCCACCCCCGCCCCATGATCATGAACCGAGCGAACGATCGAACGGAAGCAACACGGTGTTTTTCGGCTGCCTGTTCTCCGGCCCCGAGTCTTTAAAAATTATAATGGCACGTAAATACTTGACCGATTGTAAACGATAATTAAGTATCGACGTTCGCCGAGCTGATCACGGTATTTATTATGGTCGACAAGTGATTCATGAATATTCATAGGGGGACATACGTGAAACGTATTCTGGTGAAAAAGGACAGTGATTTATAAACGCGTTTAATGCGCACTGCTCGACGAAAAAAAAAGGTGAAAGATGACAGCGGGCTTAGACGCAACTCCGAACCGAGAGATCAATTATAAGAGCACGGATGTTCGTGCATTTATAATTGCGCAAAGGGGAATGATGAAACGGCCCTCTTAATCAAATCTTTAATTTCGTAAAACCCTTAATAAAGGAAATGAATTTATACATGTAATTCCCGTTCTTCTGGGGCCGGTTATGAAGATCGCGATTTCCATAAACATCGTGTTAACCACGCGATTAGACGTCATCATGCTCTATCGAAGATTATGCGAAATACGGTTAACTGGTCGTTCAGAGCGTAATCTATTTTTATTAGATCCAGTTAATGGGAAAGTTATTTCGTTTTTGTCGACGCGTACGGTTTAACGCGCGGTTTTATTTAATATAATATACAGGGTGTCGCGTGCAAGTTGAAAAGGAGTCTTTATGGTTTCAGGATGTACCTTTTGGAGATAATATAGATCCTGGCAAGTCAGTTGTCAGTTCATTTCGCTGTCATTATCATTTTTTCCATATCAATATTTATGATGTGATAGTTTTATAACGTGACGCTGTCAGTTTAGATCAGATCGAGTTCAGTAGCGAGAATTCATCGGTAAGTGTAGCAAGTTGTTCTAATAATAACTGTAATAAATCATTGCGAAGTAATAACATCACAGCTCTACATAAAAACAGTTGATAAAGGAGGAATGTAAAAATTACTACTTTAAAATAATGTTGAAACTAATTTTGATATTTTTTCAGTAGCACATATGCATATTAAAGCTATAGACTCTTCTGTTCATCATCTTTTTCTTGCTACGAATAATAACTTCTACATTTTCTACGTTTATATTTGATTACCTTGTAGGCTCATGTTTCAAATAACCATCAACCAAACAATAATTCCAACTCGATGAAAAACCCAAAATCACTTTCCCACTTGTATTACTACCATGTCGTTTTTCTGAAACTTTTCGTTCTAAAGATATTAATTTCTCAACGATAAAGCTAATAATAAACCTCGAATTCATCGTAGAACATCATTAGAACCATTTCTCAGGTTGCAAATCGCTGATACCGTTAAAAGTCCCCAACGAGCGTCTATCCGTGGTTCCGTTGTTCTACGCGCAGGCGTCGGCACAAACGCATGTACGGATTAATACAATGACTCCCGCGAAGGAACATGAAATGTCACCAAACATCTTCATTGAAAAAATTAAATTACATTAGAGAAAACTACAACATCCAGTGAATTTAACTGTGTCATTTATAAAATGAAGTTTATACCTCACTGGAACATTAAAAAAAGAATAGTTTATAAAATAGTAATTATTAATAGTAATAATTACATGATTACTTATACAGTAAGTCCATTTTCGTCAAATTCGAACACCGATACTGAAACAAAATAAGAAAATTACATCTCAATCGATAGTAAAAAAGAAATTATTTATTTCTGATAATCTAAAACCACTCTTTTCTGATTTGTTAGTTACCCACAGGGCAATATTTCATCGAATCACTGAGTCATAGAAGAACAAAATTATTTTTGTATGTACCATGTTTTCCCAGAAAATTAAGTACTTAACACGAGATTTACGGACATTTACTGTACAGTTTGTTGTATCGTTTTTGGAACAATCGATGTTCGTTAATTTAAATCTTGGAAATTAGATGTTTAAAAGTAGACAATCAAGGTACATGTTTGCGTAACTGAACCAATTCAAATTGAATCAAACATTTACCAAGTAATGTTCATGAAATTCAATATAAGTCAGACTATCGTTCCGTAAATCTAGTGTTAAATTTATTCTACAAAAACATTTTAGACGCTGCATTCATTCAGACTCGGTAGTTCTATATTCCCTGTTTCCCCAAAAATTCAGATTCCCCGTTTCTCCCCTTTATTATTCATATTATTTCCAAGCGGATTCTTTCCCTTTTTCACGGTGTGTGCCGGTTAGTTTGATGTATTATGCATCAGCAAACAATTTCACCCGTTCTTCATCGAACCGGTCATAACAGACCGGTGTACGATCGATTGATAAACCCGACGACGCTACCGGATGAATTATGTATACCAAAAAGCTTTCCGTATAAATCCATGGTAAATGCACTCGAATTTGTCGATTCCTCCCGTCGGTTATCCGATAAACGAGAAATCAAAAGAGGTCCGCGAATCGTCGCGAACGCTACGGGCAGCAGATAAAATAACGATGAAGACATCTTATCCATATCGGAGCCGAAGTCACCGCGTGGCCACGAATTTCTTATCGATCTTCTTTTCTCCAGTCATAATCGACGTCGCCGCTGGTATCGATTGTAGTTACGCAGTCCTCGATGATGATACCATACAAAAAATCTACCTGTTAGCTGACTGTTAACATGGAGTAATCCGAATGCAGTTGAATTCGCGTGATGCGTGCGACAGAAGTTTCGAGGGGAAGTTTTTGTGTCGTTCACCCTTATGGCGATGGCTCTCACATTATGCATTCTGTTTATTTCTCATCTTAATTGGGTGATTATTGTATAATAAATCGTGAAACGATGAGTTCATTAAGTGTTTTGCGTCATAAAAATATTTCTAAAAAATGTTACTAAGAAACGTAACGATGGCTGTTGTTATCGCTTTAGGTATTTATTAAGACTAGCAATAATGGTAACTCTGTCGTTTCTGCTCAGTTTATGTTCATCTTGTGTATTATTCTTATTCTTTTAGTTTTACAAGTAATTAAATAATTACTATAGGCGTATTGAATCGTAAATCGATTGAGATCAGTAATTTGTGTCGTGGAAATATGTCTGACAGCTGCGATTATAATACTATAACAGAATTTTATTTCAGTGTTATTAAAAAACGTAAGAAATAACAATATTAGTTTCTTTGGTACTTGTTCAGACTATAAATAACAATAACGATGTCGTTCACACCTGATGTGTGCTCAGCTTGTGTATTATGAACATTTCGAATATCTTTCTAATTTTAGGGTATTTCACAAACGTCCAGCATTGGCGACAGGAATCGGAATCGGCGGCAGAGGTAACGCCGGTGTTGGCGGTAACGGCGGAGGTTTAGGGGTTGACAGCGAGTGCGGTGACGCGTTAAAAAGACGCAAGGTCCACAGATGCGACGTGGCGGGCTGCGATAAGGTGTACACGAAGAGTTCCCATCTGAAAGCTCACAAGAGAACTCACACTGGTAAGTTTATTATTCTAATGTATCATATATCGAATGAAAGGAAAAGAAAATATCAAAAGTGTTAAAATCGGTAAATTTTAGTTTTGTTGTAAGACGATATTGTACGTACCGATCGAAGTACATTTTCTTTCTATAAGTAGTCATCAATATTGCTAAAAGATGACATTACTGGTACATCCAACATAATATAAAGTAACTTTTTCTTTTCTCTGGGAAATTTCAGGGTTGGCACGTACTGTGTCTTATATGAATATTCTTCAAATAATGATGTACAAAAGCAGATTCAGTGGAAAAGAGATAACGGGCCATTTTAATTCCAAAATTTCTTCCAGTTCTCAGAAATAAAGAAAACTCAACGAAGCTAATGTCATTTATTTAATTATAATTTACCAAAAAGTTTATAGCCCATTACATGCAATACCGACAATTACTTACTACTCGAACTAACAATTATGACGTTATGGTGTATATTCACCATAGAGCAAACGTATTATTCCCAACAAATAAATCTATTTTTAAACAGTAACATCAACAGTTCTAGCTAAACAGTTATATCCTCTATTAGGCCGTAGTGGAAACGTATCATTTTTATCGGCTAAAACCGTCGTATGGTCATAACATCAGTTTTCTTTGCAAGGATACGTCCACTTATAGCGAAGGTTAGCAATCGTAATAATATAATGCGAACATTAACTACCCGAAACCATGTCAAACCATGTTACGGATCTCAGACGCGTAACAAGCCAACTGATATCCCCTGCGAACCGGCAACAGGAAATTCCCGTTTTTGTTTCGCGCCGCGGCTCGAACGTGTTCCGCGGCCATTAAAAGATCTTCTCACGTTAAATGGACGGAGACAGCGTTATTAACGAACATAATGCCGCGAGATTCGGCCCGATAATCCTTAGAGCAAAGATATAGCCGGTAGTAAAACAGTCTTTCGTCTCTGGGGATGGGTCATCCGGTTGACCTGTGCCGAGGTTATTATTTATCTCACATCCTTGATTCTCTAGCCAAGTTGAACGACTCGAATAAAAAAATGCTAGCGGAAATTGAAATGGAATGAAAGAAACGCCAAGTATAGTTGATAGAAAAAGGGGGCACCTGAAAGTAATACAAATGTAATTAATCAAAATGAAAGAAAGTCATGGACTCTGATATAATATCCAGACAACAAAAAGTTTGATTCAAACTTCGCGCTTCGAGGTTATTCTGGCTCATTAAAGTAGAATAGTATTACTTTTTCGCGGAAATAATCCTAATCTGAATCTAGCTCCGAACTGTTTAGGGATCCTAAAATTAACAATTACTAGGTGACTATAAGCACCTTTAGTTGAAACTATGTAAATTGAACGCATGTAGACGCCATTAGCTTCAACTGACCAATCCAAGTTACTCGCCAATCAGCGCCAACAGTACATTATAATGTTTTCAGAGTGCCTATTGCCGTCAATAGTAATGAAAGGATTGAGATCGATTAGAGGAAAAACTCGCAAATTAGTCGAAAATGCGCGATTTCCCATGGGTGAACGGGATTCAACGCGTTTATCCATTTTCGCGCGGCGATCCCAGACGTATTCGTCCGGCGGAACGACGTTTTCGCGCATCCGCGCAGGTCACGGAGGTCTACAACATTCGCACGGCGAGGCGTATTGCCCCGGAGCCCCCATAGAAATTCGATAATGCGCCGAAGTGACGCCGGCGCATACACCATCCCGTCGAGAAATGCATTTTTCAGGCGGGCCGCGCGGGCTTCATAAGGAACACATCCGTGACCGGCCATTTATTATCGGCCCGCGAGAAAACCTGAAAGAGGTCACACCGTTCGCGCTCCTAGGTATACGGACGCCGCGGTCACCGCACATGTGTGTACACAGAGGCGACTGAAGAAGCCGCGCGGCTCCGAAGAATTTCCGGTGGATAGGCACCTTCGTGAAGGCATCGTCGGCTGTCTAGAGAGCGCATAGGCGGCGGGGAGAGGGCGTGGTCGTGAGAACCAGGATCTTTTGTCTGGTCCATGGTTCAACCAAGACGGTGCGACCGGGGTGCTCAACCTGGCTGAACTTTACCGTTGCCCTCCCCCACTACGAGGTTCGGTACCTGTGCAGTTTGACGGCGTTTCCCAGTTTTAGACTATTTCGTTGCAGTTCTTTTTTAACGCATTGGCGAAATAGTCGAAATGGTTTTGTTAATGAAGCAGAAGCTGAAAAATTGAGATGCTTTATAGTGATTGTTGCATTGTCCTTCTCATATCTTATATATCCAACAAAATTCGGTTCGATCGATATTAAGAAAATTAGTAAGTTTATGTAAAAAATGGTTTTATGGCAGTGAACCTGTTGAAACTTCGATTTATAATGAATGTAGATCTATCACAGATCCAGTTTCAAATGTTTATGTAAAATAGTACTAAACGAATAGCAAAAAGTAAGGAAGATTGCTGAATTCCACGACAAAAATTTTTGGCGATTATAAAGTAAAAACACGAAAAACCCTTGAATATCAGTAAAATTCTTATTCCTGATATAGGAACTAGTAACTCCTGGTTGCTGGTTACGCGGGCACACTGAAATGATTGAAAGAAATAGAAGAATCGTTGAACTAAAACGGGGATAGTTTAAGAAACGGAAATGAGTCCTAATAATGTTCAGAGCGAGTAATGGAAGGATACTTGATAATCCGCGCCTGTTAAAAGTTTTAACGACTCCAATAGGGTAGATTGAAAACATAATGAATAAGAGAAAAGCGGATGGTAAAGACTCTGAAAGGATGATATATTTAAAAAAGGAAAAATGAAGGGCAAAATCAGATTATCTTCCATCCTTCCCATAAAATCTTTAATTTTAGGTCTGGATGAGGTCTTTTAGATTAAAAATTAAAAGGTAGGTACTAATTAAATGTTTCCTGAAAATAGAGAACGCCGTTGCTATCACGATCATACTAGTGTTGTATCAACGTTCCACTTTAACATTTCCAAAGCTACAAAACATTGGTTCATAGCGATTTCTTGATATATGAAACTAGAGACTGATATGGCAGCTCCATCGTATTGTGTCCCAGAGAGAAACTTTCGCTAGAATAATTGTTTCAACGACTGTGCTGTGCGGCTGCGGCAGAGTGTACTTATATCCATCATTCTAACACCACAGTATTATGCAGCCATCAAGATATCTTTGCCCGGCCAGGTATTGCCACTCTAGATGTGGGAAATGCCAATTCATTGATTACTATTATTTCTGCCATTCCATGGTATAAATCGTTCGGCGAATCGTGCTAGCTGTACAACGATCCGTTCCGTCTGCTCCCAGAAGCGTTGGAATTTGTCCCGCGTGAAAAATCTATTGTTCTCAAAGGTCGAAGCGAATCGGTGTTATCAAAAATGCACCAATCCTATTGTCGGGTTAAGGATAACTATGGTAACACGATCTTATTACAATGTAATGGACATAAGTTGCAATTTATGTAATGGACATGAGGTTAACCCTTGCGCTCGCGTTGACTCGAAATCCTACTTAATCTCCAGTGCTTTTTAACCGCGTAGAAAATTTTAAATAATCTTTATGTGATCACTTCTTATGGGTTTTAAACGACTTATGCATAATCAGGTCTTTTAAATTAGTTTTAATTTTCACACAGTTTTACGAGAAAATTATAGAATGCACTTATTATACGAGCAATGCGTAAGAAGGGTCGAAAGTGTAACGGTTTACATTCATTAATGTCTTGAAGATTCTTGTGTATTATAAATATTCATACTCTAGTATAATAATCTAGCCATAAACTGAACTGTTAGGAATTATAAGTAGATAAGCTCCAAAGAATACAGAATCCCGAATGAAGATTTATTCTTATTGTGTATCGAATATTTTCAATTTCAATTCCGATTTTCAATAATAATAAAATCGTAAAGAGATATTAATCTAAAAATTATACTCGGCACACAAATTTTATAAGAATTCAAGCTGTTCAAAATTAAAATTAAACGTTTCGGAACGAATGTTAATTATTCTTCTGTCGGAAGCAGTCCACTCGTGCAAGTAAAAAAATAAAAACAGCCTCTTGCAGTAGCGTCTGCGAATTTTAATTCGCCACGAGGGGAGAGTGTACCACGAACGCGGTCTCGTGTTCTCCGGAATCGGAATCGTTCGCAGTTACGACCGATCGGGAATTAAAAAAGGAGTTCCGACGATGGTATTATTTCCTTTTTACACGAAGGGTCCGATCTTACACGCATCCGCGATGTGGAATCTCGGACGGCATCCTCCTTAAACCGTCCCGCCTCGTAACGAACGCACCGAATGCAACCGAATCCAGCTTGCTAACCATGATTGATGATTCTCACGGCTCGAACGGTAGAATTTGCATCGAATTTATATCGTGCCGCTCGCAAACCGTATAATGGAGTAATAGCGGTCTGCGCCGCTGCCGCTTTCGATACCATGAATCTTTCGAACACACGCCACGAACATCGGAAGCTACATTGTACGGGCAACGGGGCGAAATATTACGAGGATATGGTAAACGCCGGCTATGGAGCCCGGGCTCTTTATAATAGCACCGACGCGTATTCACTGCGAGACTAACGCCGCGCACTTTAAACGTGTTCACCGGAGGAAAAAAGGCGAAAATCAATTTATCTGTCAAACTGTCTGTATTTACCAGCCTCTGAAACGTTACTTGCATTCGCAAAGTGAAACTTCAATTTTTGACGTTAACGTCAAACGTTAGAACTGTCGAAGTGATTGCTTTCAGCTTTCTTATATCACAATTGTATCGACCGAAATCGCGAATATGTTTATTTAAACTTATTTTTGAAGTTGGCGTTTTATTTTTCAAACTTAAATGACTGTTTTTTCTTTTTCAACTTTAGTTTCAACCGAAGTTCCGTCGTACACAGTACAAGTGACGCTTTAAAAGAAAACTCAACGGAAAGCAAAATCATAGCAAATAATAGGGCAGAAAGGACTATACTCTTAATTAAAGAATAAACTCTTTATTTC